GCTGCCTGCAGAAACACAGATACTTAACAATGGTTACTCATAGTTAAATCCAATGGAGTCTCATGGTGCTTACTCTCAAGTTTGCACTGTACTCCAATCCCGCCCCCGAAAAAGCCTTCTGTGTCAAGAAAAGACACTGAAACTTACACAGAGACAGGAAACAATGGCTTTAGGTCTTTGGAACATCTAGGGGAGAATGTTCCAGCCATATCCCAAGGCCTTCTACATGACTGTCCGCTGAAGTGTGCTGTTGCAGTTGTTTTTCAAGTAAAAAAAAAGAAAAAAAACAGATGAAAGTTCTGCTTTTTTTCCTGCATTGGTTACCATTTTGCTTACTTCTACATGACTGTCTGCTGAACTGTGCTGTTGCAGTTCTTGTTTTTCAAGTAAAAAAAAGAGAAGAAGAAAAAACAGCTGAAAATTCTGCTTTTTTCCTGCATTGGTTACCATTTTGCTTCCATGCCAGGTTCAAGGTTTTGGTCTTCACAGACAAAGCCCTAAACAGTTTGGGACCTCATTACTTGTCTGAATGTCTTTTGCCAGGTTTGACTGCCCATCTCATCAGGTCTTCACAGACTCATACCTGCAGATACTGACACCTCAAGAGGCCTGGAAAAACACTGGCCAGAAGCTGGGCCTCCTCGGCTGTGGCACCTTCTCTGTGGAATGCGCTGCCACAGTTATTGCCAGGCTCCCTCCCTCCATGCCTATAAAAAGCAGCTGAAATCAGCTTTTTAGAGAAGCTTTTAGGAAGCCGCTCCCAAATGGAATGAAATAGAGGAGGAGGAGGAAGAAGAACGAGAGATCCATGGTATGCCAATTAATTTTGCTTCCTGTCTTATTTAATTCTTGTAGGTTAGGTTTAGCTTGTCATGGTTGTTTTATATAAAATGTGTCTTTACCTCTGTTGTCTGATGCCCAGAGAAGCAATTTGCTAGATTGGTGGTATAAAAATCGAATGAATAAATAAATTCCTTCCCTACTGGCTTTCCGCTTTTCAAAGCTGATCCAGTTCCCACTGCCACCCAAAAATCATAATCATCAACAATGCTACAAAAAACAGCACACATACTGCACCAATATTTAACAGATACTTAGGTTTTTGGTGAAAACGTAAGTTAGGTTTTGGTTAAAACCTTGGTTGTACAATACCAGTCAATGTTTTTATAATTTTGGTTGACTATGCTTGGTACTTTAGTAGTACAGTGGTGCCTCGCAAGACAAATGGTTTTGGCAATGGGGGTTGATGACTCGCAAGACAAATGTTCCTATGGCTATGTTTCACAAGACAAATGTTTTACATTTTTTTGTTCCTGCCTCATGTTTGCTGATTTTTAAATGTTTTTCTATGATGTTTAAAAAGTTAAAGTTTTTTGATTGAATCTTTTTAAAATCATCTGCACAATATGCATGGCTTTAAAGAGCACTTAATAAACCCTTTGTAAACCAAATTTGACTTTGTTCTGGCTTTTTTTGTCCATAGGAACACATTAATTAGATTTCAATGCATTCCTATGGAAAACACGTTTTGCAAGATGAATTTTTGGCAAGACAACATTAACTTCGGAATGAATTTAATTTGTCTTGCGAGGCAGCAGTAGTAGTAGCAGTAGCAGTAGCAGTAGCAGTAGCAGTAGCAGTAGCAGTAGCAGTAGCAGTAGCAGTAGCAGTAGCAGTAGCAGTAGCAGTAGCAGTAGCAGTAGCAGTAGCAGTAGCAGTAGCAGTAGCAGTAGCAGTAGCAGTAGCAGTAGCAGTAGCAGTAGCAGTAGTAGTAGTAGTAGTAGAAGAAGAAGAAGAAGAAGAGGAGGAGGAGGAGGAGGGGGGGGAAGAAGAATCAATTTAGCTTTTTTTCCTGTTGGGAGCTGCTATGTGCAGAGGTGAATGAAACAGAGGTTTTCAAAAGAAGAACATCTGGAGGAGGAGAAGGCTTCCTTCTCTGCCCCTCATTGCGGGGTCCAGTGACTACACTCTCCATTAAAATGGACATGTTGCAGAAAAGTTATATAGAACTTCATATAACACATAGTTTATACTTTGAAGGAATTTTCCTCTGTATGTTGGCTCCTCTATGGCCCATGACAAGCACAGATGATTGGTACTTTATAAAGACCACTTCTGTGGCCAGGGTGCTTTCCGCTCTTGCTCATCAATGGCTCTACGATGCTGAAAATTGAGGTCACTTACTAACACACCCGCCAGACAGACAGGAAGATGAAATTGAGGAGGAATGATTTGCTCAAAACCACCCTCTGAGTTCATGGGTGAATAAAATTTTGAAATCCAGGTCTCTCACGAGCAAACCCAACACTCTTTATCCATTATAATCAGCCCTTAAATGAGAAATTGGCAAAGCTTCAGAAGGTGTACAGCAGTTCACATGATCTAGCCGACCTGAGGAGGTCGATCTATATAGATGGCATCCTAAAACCACAGTCCTTACTTACAATTTTTTTCTAAATTGGTTTCAATTGCTCTCTGTCATTGTTGATCTTGGGTCTATCTTGACGGTTCTCCACTCTGTCCTGCTTTGCGCAGTGCCAGTGATGCCATCCTCTGAACAAACACCTCTGGAGAAGCCCCACTTTACACAGCACTGCAAGAACAGCATGCCTGGCACTGTTCACGTGATCAATGAACCCAAGATGAAAGTTTGTTGGGTCAAGGAGAAGGGATGTGACTCAACAATATGACACATGCTTTACTCATGAAAGGTGCAGGCTTCACTCTTTGGCATCTTCAAGTGAAGGTGGAGAAGCTTCCTCTATTTAACCTAGGAGAATGCTCACACTGGGGGAGGTGTCCCATAGGGAGTCCTCTGAGGAGGCGTGTCTTTGCCAGCCTCTCAGAGGCCGCGCGAGACTACAAAGCTGCCCTGAGAGAAGCCAGGGGATGTGGAGATGAGCGGGGCATATTTAAAGGGGAGCATCCCTGTTGTCGCCCTCTTTTGTGTGGTTGAGCGACAGGAAGGGAACCCGCTGCTCCTGCCATTGGCACTGGGCGCCATGTGGGCGGCCGCAACAGGACGGGAGCAGCAGCAGAAGATTGGGGTGCAGGACTGGAGCAAGGACAGGACTAGTGGTGCAGCTGGCAACAGGGACGGTTTCTTAGCCTAGCTCGGTTAGGCGACACGTGCGCATGCACAGGGGCCAGAGCAAGCAGCAGAAAATGGCTCAAAATTGCAGCATATCTGAAGTTGCAGTGCTGCCGATCAGGCGATCTCAGCGCTGGGAGGGAAATGGGGACGCACCCGGACCCACGGTCAGCACAGAGAGAAGGAAAGAGGATTTGGGGAAATTAGAGGCCAATAGTTGGGATGACTGAGGCTGGAGCACAGCCTGCTGGCTGTTCAATGATCACGTGATAATCAAGAGATAATCTGAATCCACACTACAGCAGGACACCCCTTTTGGCCAAAGGATGGCAATGGTCAGGAGAATAGAATGGAATGGACTTTAATAAAGCGTGGCCCATGTTTAACCCGTACACTTGGTCTCGCATGGTTATTCCGGTGTAGGATGGCAAACACTGGCTGTCAGAGTTGGACAGGCCAAGGGTTTGACTTGATAAAAACACCTTCTTCAGTCAAATGCTCTTTTTTTTCCTTTCAGCTACCTAAGGATCACATAATTATGAATTAAAAGCTGCAATGGGACAGAGGTTGTAGCAATAACATTTCTGTCTCTCTCCCTCTCACCCTCTCTCTTTCACACACATCCATTTTAATCTCTATTAATTCAATCTTCTCTCCCCTCCTCCAAGAGAAAGGAAAGGACTCGGTCATAATTTGCAAAAGAATCAACATCCTTTTAAAAGCCATGTCAGTTGCTCCCTGAACCCATGGAGATGCCAAGATTTCTGGTTCCTCTTCGGTCCAGGCAACGTTCCACGTGTAAGCTGACCCATTATTGTCCAATGTACCCATCCAGCCTCAGGCAGGATATTATACAGCCTTCCCCTTGCCCATTCCTCTTTGACCAACCTCCCTGCTGGTTTTGTATACTCTGCTACCACTGGGCAGAAGCAGCGGCACAGAACACAGAACTGCCTGCGGAAAAAATAAAGAGGCAGGAGAAGGAGGTGGTGCCGTCTTTATACCACCCCCCCCTCCTGGAGAGAAAGAAAAAGAAAGATTCCTGTGTGTTGGGATTCAAGCTTGCATCTCTCCTTAAGTATCCACTCTGCATATTAAAAACATGAGGAAGGAATGTTGAAAAGGTCAGGTTGAGTTTTGGAAAAAAAAAAACAGCAACAAAAAAACTTCCAAACACTTGCTGTTTTCAACATAACACATTGTGCCAAAATGAGTCCCTTCTGTATCTTTGGTAACTTTTTTTTTTCATGAGCTATGGACCTGGGGAGACTTCCCTAGAATGGAAATTCATTTAACTGTCCTCCTTCTTTTCTACTAGGTGCGAAAAGCAGACGTGCCACAAAACACACTGAAATAAATTCAGAAGAAATCAAGATATTGGTCAATACCATGCTAGGAAATGAGAATGCCACTCCGGTTCCGTCTCAGCAGAGCAGCTCTTGAAGAAGGAACCTGGCATGCATCTTTCTTCAGCACTGCGCTGTGATTCGAATGTGCAAGAGACCTAGAATTTAGCTATCAAAATATTGAAATTTGAACCGGTTGCTCCAAAAGCACCGGCCACTGGCAGGCTTTCAGGGGTGTTTTCAAAAGATCGGACAGCATTTCCCTGGCAACAGATCAGTTCTTCTTCCCCCAACTCACGAAAGGATGCAGAAAATGTCTGTCAACAATGGCCTTTTCCATACCTAATGATGGCTGAAAATTAGCCAGCAAGCATTTCTTGGTCGGTTTAACAAAATAGCAGCATAGTCCTAGAGAACTTGGAGGGGGGGGGTTCTACAATCCTGGACCAACATCAACACACACACACACGAACACACGGAACAAACTACACAGTAGACTGATTCATAAACACATCAATAACTCTGCTGTATGCTGTAGACAATAACACTGCAATTTTATTTATTTATTTATTTTTGGTCACCAAAAATGCCATGAGGGAGAGCCTGTGCTAAATACTGTACATTATTAGGGTTACAATGCAGAGGAGTTAAGAAGACCCCCGCCCCCAAACAGCAGCCGGTCATGCATGAACCCGGTTGTATCTGCAACAGCCTGACTTGGTTTGTGCGTGGCAACAACAAGCATCAGCCGGCCATCAACAGCAGAACGCTCCTCTCTCCCAAACGCATACACACACACACGCACACATCGGAATGAGAAGGAAAACTGACACACACTTTTCCCTAAGAAATGACTGGGGGGGGGGAATCAAAGCCTCCATTTCCAACAAGAGAGGATAACGCAAAGGGTCATAATTGGCACCCATTCTTCCTGAACAGCCAGCTGAGTTCATCCAGACGTCCCGTGTTGAATCCCCTATGTGGCCGATGCACAGGGACCCCTGAAACAGAAGGAAAAAGGGGGTGGGATCTACATTTCAAAGCTTCCTCCTTAGAAATGTCTTGCTGTTCCAGCTGTGTCTCTCTGTGTGTGCATGTGTGTGTGCCTGTGTGCCTGTGTGTGTGTGTGTGTGTGTGTGTGTTTGAGCAACAGTGAGAGGGCTTAAAGTATTTTCCATTTCATCAGAGAACATATATTCCTTTACTGGTTCACTAAAATGTTGGTTTTATGCCCACCCCTTTTCCCATTTGCCCATGTCGGCGAAGCACGGCGCAAGGCATACAATCATGAAGAGCTTACGACACTCAGTGAGCGCTAGGTGCCTCTGCATGCTGGAGCTACATACTGCTCGGCTGGAAGGAAGGGGATTCTTGCTGTCTCTCTCGGTTTCTCTCTCTGCTCTAAGCATCTTCTAACAAGCCAAGCCAACCAGGAATGGGAAATAAAGCCATCTTGAGCCGGTCCGGTCCCTGAATGAAGTGCAAGCTGTCTCAGTGGAGTAAAAAGGTTCTCGCCGTTCGCTCGTCTCCAATGATGGACATTAAAGAGATGGTCAAATCCTGGGGAGCTGTTGAGCAAAGAGTTTTGGAAGGGGCTCCTTGCTTTCTTTTTCTTTTTTCTTTTTTTTTTCCTCCTCTCTCCCTCCCCACGTCACAGAATTAACTGCAGAGGAAAAAAAAAAAAAGGACCGAGGGGGGAAAGAGAGAAAGGGAGGAATGAAGATCAACCCTTATGCCCATACTTCTGAAACTTGAAGGTCCTGGGAGTCAGCTTAAAAATAAGAGAGGAGAGAGAGAGAGAGAGAGAAAGAAAGAGAGAAAAGAGCTAGCTGGACATGCTGCTCGCCCTTTGAGACGGAGCAAAGTGAGATATTGTGAGCCTGCCAGCCTCGCAGAAAGCTGAAAGAGACAGAATTTGTAGCAACAGAGAGCTCTTTTTGAGCCGTGCATATAATTAAGTCCAAACACAAAGGAAGCCGGTGAATGGAGCTTGTCACTCTCTGGAAAAAGGGTGGGTAAGACTCTTTTTAATTTCATTCTTTTGCGAAAAGAGAGAGATTTTTTTTTTTAAAAAAATTGTTCTATTCTTTGCTGCGGCAACTAAAATGGACAGACACCCGTGTACCTTGTGAATGCGTCTGAACTTTAATGCTGTACAGATTTTCCTCTGCATGCTGTCTTTTTCTAGAACAAACAAAAACAAACCCTCAACAGTGACATCCTTGGCCCGATGATTCTCTTATTTTTGCCTCGTCCCTGTCCCTCTGCCCCCCGTTTGACATACAATATGGTGTAGAATTCATACGAAAAGGGCAACTGGCGAACAGAGAGATTCAATGGACATTCTCCAGCATATTTGGGGATATTCTTGCTAATGGATTTCCTTCTTATTGGTGTCTGTTTAAACTGGCTACTGAGGAAGCCCCCAGGGTTGATCCTGTGTACGCTGGGTATTTTTTGCAAAATGCTTCCAGCCGTAAATAGCGGGTGTCCACAGCTCTGTCGGTGCGAGGGCAGGCTTTTGTACTGCGAGTCGCTGAACCTCACAGAGATGCCGCACAACCTGTCGGGTGTGATGGGCTTGTCGTTGCGGTACAACAGTCTCTCTGAGCTGCATGATGGACAGTTCACAGGGTTAATGCAACTCACGTGGCTCTATCTGGATCACAATCACATTTGCTCAGTGGAGGGAAATGCTTTTCAAAAGCTGCGGAGAGTTAAAGAGCTCACTTTGAGTTCCAACAAAATCACACAACTGCCCAACACCACCTTCCGGCCCATGCCGAACTTGCGCAGTGTGGATTTATCCTACAATAACTTGCAGGCTTTGGAGCCGGACCTGTTTCATGGGCTGCGGAAGCTGACGACTTTGCACATGCGGTCCAACGCCATCAAATTTGTGCCCGTCCGCATCTTCCAAGACTGCCGTAGCCTCAAGTTTCTTGACATTGGATACAATCAGTTGAAAAGCCTGGCTCGAAACTCCTTTGCTGGCTTGTTCAAACTCACCGAGTTACATCTTGAGCACAATGACCTGGTCAAAGTGAACTTGGCCCACTTCCCAAGGCTGATCTCCTTGCACTCCCTCTGCCTACGGAGGAATAAGGTCACTATAGTGGTGAATTCTTTGGACTGGATATGGAAATTAGAAAAAATGGACCTCTCGGGCAACGAGATCGAATACATCGAACCTCACGTTTTCGAAAGTGTACCTCATCTCCAGTCCCTTCAGCTGGATTCTAATCGACTCACCTACATTCACCCAAGAATCCTCAACTCCTGGAAGTCCCTCGTTAGCATCAGCCTTTCTGCAAATACCTGGGATTGTGGCCGTAACGTTTGTGCCTTGGCCTCTTGGCTGAGCAACTTCAAAGGCCGCTATGACAGCAATCTCCTTTGTGCCACCCCTGAATATGCCCAGGGTGAGGATGTCTTGGATGCAGTCTATGCTTTTCATTTATGTGAAGACGCAGCAGACTACACAACTGATGTTAACCTCCTGTCTGCTGTGGCAAACAACAGTGACCAAATGTTCAGCAGCAGTCCTGGCACGGTCAACTACGACCTGCAGGACCTCGAAGGGGACAGAACGACGTATGCCTTCACGGTAACTATGCCCAACGAGAACGCCGAGAATGCGGTTCAGATTCACAAGGTGGTAACGGGGACCATGGCCCTCATCTTCTCTTTCCTCATAGTGGTTTTGGTGTTGTACGTTTCATGGAAGTGTTTCCCAGCCAGCCTTAGGCACCTAAGACAATGTTTTGTGACACAGCGTAGAAAGCAGAAACAAAAACAAACCATGCATCAGATGGCTGCCATGTCAGCCCAGGAGTATTATGTTGATTACAAACCCAACCACATTGAAGGCGCTCTGGTGATCATTAATGAGTATGGATCTTGTACGTGCCATCAGCAGCCAGCAAGGGAGTGTGAGGTGTGATGATTTAAATGCTTTTTCCGGTGGGGGATTTAACCGAGTGTGCAACCAAATAGCTGTGGGCAAAGAGACGGTTGGATGAGGGTTGACTTGTGTTTACCAGTGCCCTTCTTTGACAAAAAAATGTTTAAAAAGAGAGAGAGCTGTCCAAAAAGACTCGATATTTTAGCTTTATTGTGGCTTAAAATCTCCAAGACATTCGACTTTCAAAAGATAAATGATATTTCGCAAAACAGCTCTCTCTAAAGATCTGTCAATATACAGAGAGAGAGAAAAAAATCTGAGAGTGTAAAAAAAGTACCAATTATTGACTCTTTTTTTTGTAAAAGAAAAACAGAAATAATGTTTAAAATAAAAGGAAGATAGCATTTACAATTTTTAGACTGGTGTACATTACCTGACTTGTTAATCTTTATGGGGTAAGATGGGGAACATGTCTTAAATTCCTCTCAGCCCTACAGGGTTGAGCCTCGAAAAGCATGGCTCAGAATAACCCACAGAGAAGCACATATTTAAATCAACTTGATGGCTGGAGGATCCTTTGGTGTTTTGTACCTTGTGACTGTTGCATTTTAAAACCAAGCAGATATATATATTTTTTCTCCTTATCTCCTTATAATGCTACTTATGAAATCTGTATATAGTCTACAGAGGACCAGAGTAATCTGGCGAAGCTTTAAGGTCTAACGGCAGCTGTGCAATTTGTCAGAAATGCATAGGGCTTGAGGGCAAAGCTTTCTTGTGAGTTGCACCAAGAAACACATACCCCCCCCCCCAAA